TGAAATTAATTAAAATTTTAAAGTAACGGCTCCTTTCAACCTATAAATCTTCAATTTTAAAAAGTAAAAAACGGTTTAACAAATTAAAATTTTAATGCTAACGCAATTTAATTGTTTTAGTATATATGTGTATACAGGAAAAATAATTGTCTAATTTTGGTGCGCCGCGCATATTTGCACATTTTAGCATGAACATCGCATGAAAATCGAGCGCTAAAACCAAATCTGTTTAATTTTCACTCACGAGTTAAAAAAATCATATTTAGGAATTTAACCATTGGACATGCAATTTTTCATAGAGTTGTGCACATGGTATAACATGTAACTTTTTATGAGGTACGGATAAGGTGGCAAAGTGCCCGCTTCCGAGTAAGCGTGGCGAAGGATCTTTTTCGTCAGATTTATTGCTCATGATTTATGAACCTGCTCTGCCGATTGATTCATTTGATTTAATTGAACGTACATGTCATGTTATGTTGTTTGAATGACTTTTTCCTCAAAATAACATGTAACTTTAAAATCGGATAAAAACTTACTAAAATGAGAAATTACATTCAATATCAGCAATGGCCAATTGGCTGACTTTAAGGTCATGGCCTGAACAAACAATTTTTTTAAATAGTCAAGTGATGCTAAAGCAGAGCACAAATGTGTAATAAGTTAATAGATTAAAAACTGATTCATGTGATGCATTACGCAGAGCACAGATAAAAATACTGATTCAATGATTAAAATTATAGCTGTGAGTGTCAATAACTGTGAGTGTCAATAACTGTGAGTGTCAATAACTACTCAACAAATGGCGGATGGGGTCCACAAGCCACAAGATACCACAAGAGACTCGCTGAAAAACTATCCCAGAAGAGAGGGATATTGAAGGGATATTGAAGATTTAGATTTAAATATTGAGCCCTTTGGCTAGAGAATACTTTCTTGAATATTTTCGATAGTTTTTAATATTGGTAATATTAATGAATTGTAATTGATTGATATGTAATATTTAGGCCCGTGGCCAGTTTTCATCATCCCAGAAGAGAGGAGAAGACTATGCGGCTATTATGTGTTACATGCGCACCAGGATTAGATTCTCAATCCTCAGGAGCACCCACCCTGATAGCGGTCAGGGGTGAGAGAGGGAGACGGCAATCGTATACATTGCCAGTCAGTGTAACTTCGTTTAACTTGATACCTGCCACCATGGACTATGAATGTTTCTAGACACTATCCTTTTGATATTGAGATATTGGTATCTCAGATCACGTGTACATCGTTCCTTTTTTTATGACACAGTAATTTATTGACACTCACAGCTATAATTTTTAATCATTGAATCAGTATTTTTATCTGTGCTCTGCGTAATGCATCACATGAATCAGTTTTTTAATCTATTAACTTATTACACATTTGTGCTCTGCTTTAGCATCACTTGACTATTTTTAAAAAAAAATTGTTTGTTCAGGCCATGACCTTATAGTCAGCCAATTGGCCATTGCTATATTATGTGTATATTGTTTGAATATTCGTTCTCATAAATTACTGTGTCATAAAAAAAGGAACGATGTACACGTGATCTGAGATACCAATATCTCAATATCAAAAGGATAGTGTCTAGAAACATTCATGGTCCATGGTGGCAGGTATCAAGTTAAACGAAGTTACACTGACTGGCAATGTATACGATTACGGATAAAAATAATCACTGAAATTACAAGATTGGGCAAAGGATACCCTGTTCCAAACTTTTATGTCAGTGAAGATGATGGAATTGAGGTTTTTACCATGTATAAAATCTTGTCAGCCAGGTATGGGTGAACATTTGTATCTTAAAATTATGTAAGAGTACATATATTACGTCGTCATAATATTTTGTAATCCACCATAATCCCCCCTCCCCCTCAGTGGCGTAACGAAGGGCCCCACAGACCCCGCTGTTGGGGGGGGGGGGGGGGGGGGGTGTCAAATTGTCGTTTGATTATTATTATTAAATCTAAAATAGCTAATAATTTAATTAATTATTAACAGGCCCCTTAAGGCCACAGGGGGGGGGGGGTTGGGTCCGAGGTCGAAAAAACGTTTTTTGGCAGACCACGTACTATCTGACGCTTGCACACCACCCTTAGCCCCCCTGAGCGCCTAGTTTGTCGTAAAATTGAGGTTAAATATTGCCTTTTTAATCAGTTAACCTCTCAAATAACCAGTTCTTAACATTTTGTTGCTCTCATCACAAGTAAAACTTATCAATGGGTATCAATTGGCCATCCAATGTGAACAGAACTATTATATGTCCTTTATTTGTTGGAAAATTGGGGTTAACATATTTTCTCAGAATCAGTCTTTTGACTCTCCTGAACAATTTATTTACCACCTCAAAAACCTATCTTCTCCTAGAGCTTTTATCCATTTTACCTCAAATTTGGAATTTGTGTTCCTGACATAAATTTAAAAGTTTGTTATGCAACGATTGTTGTAATTTTGCTCCTAACTCTTTTTATGAGGTTAACCATTTTAAATTTTGTAAATTTTGTAACCCGCACTCATGGTTAACCTCATATCTCAGCTTTGGAGCAAGATATCATAATCGTTACATAACAAAAACTCAAAACACCTTGAAGAACATTGTTGCCAAGTTACTAGGTTCTAAGTCATAAACTGAAAAAGAAGATAGATTTTGAACACAATTTCATTTAAAGTTTTCATTTACAATAGAATTACAGGTAAACCTCAAAATTCAGCGATATCTTCAAATAGGAAACTTTTTTTCCGGTAAGGACAAAGGCATTTGAAAATTTAGATCGAGCTCTACAACATATCTCAAAATTGACCTCGGACCCCCCCCCCCCCTGTGGGCAATAACATACGCTTGATAAATTATATAAACAAATTCAAGTCTATTTTTCCGATTTTGCTAATTGTCTCTTTAGATCTGTTTTGGTCTTTCGTGGGAGTTCCCACATCTGCTGGTTGAGAATGCTCAACATAACATACATGATGCTTGACTGCTTTATTGACAATTTTGAAAAACTTAACTGCAGTACTAGCAAAACTGTGCATTTTGCTCTAGAAACACATTTAATCACAAGAAATACACATTATTAATTATTATTATACCCCGAAATACAATTTTTAATAGTCTATTTTGTCTGTCTATACGATCTTGGAATCGTCTCAAAATGGTGCTTGAAATGGTTGTTGAAGTTCCTGTGAAGAAATTTGGGCTTGACAACACAAAACCCTACTTAAGGTCCTACAGATATTAGGGATTGGGATCATGATAACCTAACTTTACCAATTGGATGCCTAATTAATCCATATTTAGAAACGGCTACTCCACCCATGCCAAACCAAGGCAATTTGATGTGTGATAATCACAAATTGTGTGCTGTTTGTACAGCTCAGATTTTAAATATAATATAACGAAGAGAGATGGCCATGGGTGGATCAAAAGTCAGCGAAGAACTAAAAGCTGGGCTCACTTCCAATACAAGATTTGCTTTATAGAATTAGGTCAGTAGTATTTAACTAACAGTGGCCAATGACTATTGATTAAGTAAGATTTAATTTGAATGACATTTCACATTATATTGTGAACTAATTAAATCAGGACTATCCCAAATTGACTGATGCAGGTGAGTAAGTAGGTATTGAATCACCATTTTAATATCGTTTTTCAGCTCAATCCAGCCAGCTAATTGCAGACTGGCTGTAAACTGTAGACTAAAGAGGGTGAAAGAAGTTCAAACTTACCCGGCAACTTGTTTGGGTATACTCTGAGCATTATTCTGTTTTTTTTGCATGATATGTTTACATACCATCTGGAACATGACATAATAAGTTTGAATAGTTAATAGTTATCTATGTTATTACCTAATTTGTGAAATGATTATAGAAGATGATTGAATGAAATAGTAACATAATTAGCAAGTGTTTAATGTTTATGAATATTAAGTTTGTTAAACTAAGTTTGCAACAGTTAAATTTAGCGTTTGAATAGTATGTGTGTATTACTATGCCACTTTAGTATATTGTCTCCAGGAATATCTGTAATGCGATTCTTTTTACCCATGCTTCCAATGTGTATTACATTACTTATAGTGCTGATGTGCAAATTACTGTACGTGATAATGTAGATGGAATCATATTATCACGTACGCATTACGCAAACGGATTATCGATAAATTATCATGCTATTATTTAGATACATTATGCCAAACCAAAGCAGTATAATTGAATATACTTAACATTAGTGATTAATCCATGAGCTCATGAGTGGGTGTGCTCGTTCGCATGTAATTTACAAATAAATAAATTAATAAAACGGTAAGAGTTATAGGGCTGGCTTTTTCGGTATAGTGCTGACAAAACTCTGAGGAAGCAAAATAGGTGGTTTTAACTTATCCTCAGTAATATACACGGTAATTTATCACAGCAGCAGCTCTATCTGAAATATATAATAAGAGGTGAGAGGTCTAATTTGACCACGACACTTAGCTGCGGAGACAGAGAGAAATTTTCTCTCGGCCCTCTCTCTCCCTAACTGCTTAACAATGTGCTTGCTACTTTACTGTCAGATGAGCAGAGGTTTAGGTTGCTATACTTGGAAATCATGTTAATTAAGGTTTGACTGTAGTTCCTTAATGTTTTATAATCTTGTTTTATAACGTTGTTTTATCTTGATCGCCTGAACATTTGGTTGCAGTCTGATTCTGATTTCGAATGAGTGGGTTCATACTTTTGCACCTTTTTAACTACGACAATTACACTAGTAATAGACACATTTTAGAATATTGAATGTTTCTGTATAGTTTTTGTTATTCTGCAGCTATAGCAAATTGAACGATTATTCATCCACAGGTACTAAAAAACAGATTATTTAACTTTTATTTACTTTTGATAGTGGAGCTATCGAGTTACTGAATTTTCGATTTATTGTATTGTTACCGAAATTACCGGAAATTATCATGTAACTGCAGTTTTCCTTTTGTCTAACGATATACACCCTTAGCAAGAATGGTTAACGATCAGGAACTGAAGGCTGGACATGGTCCCGCAAGTAAGTATAATTATCAGAACACTCGTTACTGTACTTGTTATTTACTATGTACAGTATGTTAAGCTATCATAAACCATCGAATGATCAATAAGTACACAGCTCTCAGTATTAGTACAGTATTATGTGAACGATCCCTGGCCCTAACTGCTGAAAATGTTCCTATATCACTATATGTCCCCAGGGACCCCGGACCTTTACAAAACTACCGGGCCTGGAGAAGTTGTTAAACATGATATTATCAGTGTAGAGCGCGAGACATCACTCGGTCACATCACTCGGTCGCGATGTCATAGTTTGTGTGGAATATTGTAGGAGTGTACGGTACATCGTGTGGCACGTGACTTTGTAAACAATCGTCACGTGGTTACCACGTGACCTTCTGTACAGTTGATAAACGAGAACTGTGCACGAGGGCGGAAGACACAAGGGCGGTACTTTCCTAAAAGGGTTATATAAATGTCTTGACATTATTGAGAACATTAAAATCCCGTGTAATCCTATGTTTAGCCAGTAAAGTCTTATCAGATGTAATTAAAATGTCGAATATGGTGGCAAAATATGCGGTCCGACACGTATGCAGTGTTCTTTATCTAAAAATGCATAGAGACATAGTTAGAGTACATATTTTGTTAGACATTTTCTCAGAACGGTTAGTCTATCAACACTTGAGTCTGATCTTACTTACAGTGTCTCTTTAGAGAAATAATGTACAAAAAGATTATTTCTATAAAGATTTTTGGAAACGGACAAAGATAAAAAGTGAATAGTCTTATTAATATCCCTACAATTTTAAAGGAGATTAATCAAATTATATCACATGTACGATATATCAGTCCCTTGTAGAATGTAGTTTGCTTCTTAAACTAATATTACTGATTACTCTCGGTGATATTATTATTATAATCAGAGCCCGACTTTGCGAGGGTCCTAATATTGCAATAATAATTATCATTATCAAACGACTGTACGAATCATCACACGACAGTGTAATGTTATGAATGTACAGTATGCACACTATATTACACCTGCACACTGCAGGACACACGACAATACAGTTTAAGTGTAGAAACTCAAGTCTGTGATCGCACAGCTATAAACTTAACTGCTGGTGTTTAATAAATCATACAGAACGTAATATGTATATTGAGTTCGAGTAGCAATGTAGAATTATAGCAAATATAAAACAAAATGGACAACATTGATGGAAACAAGAAATGTGTCACAACAAACACCTCCCCGCTTTTAGCCACCTTTATTGTTATCTGAGTTCTAAAACCAGGCTACGTGTTGATATATAATATTGACCTGCAAAATTATTCTAGGATTTTCGTTAAGTTAAGGACACCTGGAGACAGGTCGCTAAATTCAGAGCAGAAATTTAAGTTAGATCAGCCGAATATTTTGATCTAATACAACACATTTGAAGTGTTTAACTATACATTTTGCCAAGATCAAGAGTATCACATAACATTAGTGTGACGATACAGTATCAAGTGTAATTACATATCACGTATCTCATAACATTAGTGAGACGATACAGTATCAAGTGTAATTACATATCACGTATCACATAACATTAGTGTGACGATACAGTATCAAGTGTAATTACATATCACGTATCTCATAACATTAGTGTGACGATACAGTATCAAGTGTAATTACATATCACGTATCTCCTCTCTACTACAGGCAAAGTAGGAGGAGCAAGAAGGACAAGGAACAGAAGCAGGAGCGAGCAGGTTGGAGGAATGGCTGGAGCCGAGGAGCCCACTGCTGAGGAGACAGCCCCTGTAACAGGGGAGGACGGAGAGGTGGTAGCCACTGGAGAGGAATCTACGGTTAGTAATAATCACTGTCACGTGTATTGGAATTTCAGTGGTGTTTCGTATAAGTTTCTAGGTCTCTGATGATTAAAATATCTCGATAATCTTTTCAAAACACTTATTTATTCTACAGTAAACAAGTTGTTTGATAAGTATAAAATGTTTGTAGTCATGTAAAACACTTCAGGAAGTGCAAGCTGCTGACCCAGAGGTAGTAGCTCCGTACAAGGAGAACAGCCCTGCTGCAGTAAAGTCATTCCACGACAAACCCCTACCCTCCAAGAACATACAGGTCACCAAGAACCCACAAGCAACCGCAAACAACATGAACATTCAACAACCCAGGAAATAGACTGGAAGAACTGGTTTACAGTTTATATTTCATGAAAAACTTATAAAATTTATGTGTAATATGGATTGGGATGTAGCATTTACAGTTGGGATCGCTTATTTAGCTATGATAATTTTGGCCTGATGCTCATGAACATTGAACAGTATAGCCTATATAGCTATATTTATTACCCCTATTTTCCCCTTACGGCTACAGGATGGCCCAAAATTAACGAATGGTTTGTGTTTATTTTGGGGCATCCTGTAAGATTTATAATTATTTCGATACGATTTTTGAGCAAGAGTCATAGATTCATCAGCTATAAAATGAATTTAAAGTTTAAGTACGTGTTTTTTGAATTCTGCAAATCTACAATTAATACTACCTTCCATACAGCTTCACAAATATTACCTAATTTTTAAACTCCACTTAATGGAGGATTGAGTCAGAATTAAATATTTTTTAAGCAACATTTTTAATTGTATTATTTAGATCATATTGATTACTTAATGTTCGTAATTTATCAACTACCACATAATATCATCCATTCTATATACGGTCCGCATATCGGAGCAATGGTGATGATTTCATGATTTTGTTCGTGAAAGTGATGACAATGATTGAAATTTGAGACAGCACTAGAACCAGTCTAAGCTAGCCCTCGACATCAAACATTGGTCATAAGAATCGTGGCTTCATAGAGGTTTTGGTGATTAATTTAATATTGGATCCAATATATTATTTTTTGATGATAAGAGATGATCATAGATGTTTAAACCCAACTTAGTATAATTTATTAGTTTTAAAATTGTGTTTTAATGTCTTTCGTCCGCGTCATTCAGATTGCAGATATTCCCATAATGCCTAATTATAATATAGCATTCCTCTAAATTCCAGGGGACCAGGATATTACCTGACAAATAGTATGCTGAATTAGTAAATAAATCGTACATATTTATGCCAATAATATTGAACAAGAGCTATCCAATACTATAAATCACGAACAACTCTCAACAACTGACAAGCACACGCAACGTAACCGCCATGATGCTTAATTTAGTATTAACTCTTGAGTCTTGTGGAGAACAATCGTGTCTTTCTAATGAACGATTATTGTATAAATTTAATGTAAGGGTTTAAGGTTAGTTTTTTTACAGCCGCCATTTTATTTCAACTCAGTATCCCAACACATGGTTCTCCTCATGTTTGCCCAGTCAGTATTACGTGGCCTCACGAATCATGTTGCTAGTTTTCACCTTTTATTTGTAGACAAAGTAACGCGCACGTATATATTTTAATGCCGGCGCGCGGCGCGCACTTCCGATCTAATTTAATTCATAATTTATGATTTAACTTTAATAATTTTTAAGCTTACATTTAATTAAATAAACGGGCGATTAATTCGTATTAAATAATGATAATAATACATTGAAGATTTCCTTCTTATGACTAATACGTTATATTCCTGAATCCGAGTAACATTTAACTTATTTGAAATCTGTGCAATTAATTATTACATGACTGGCGTCGCGCGCAGCAAAACATACATCATACATGTTATATCATACATACTATATGCCGGCCCATGATTTTCCGGATCGCTTACCAGTGGAAATCTAGTCAATTCAAATATCTGCTTGCTTGGTACTCATGGTCGATACAATCACAGCCCAACCAACTTCTTGATCAGACTGATTCACCTACATGTGCATACGCCATCTGGGAGCCGTCAGTTGAGCTTGCTCTCTGACTCGTGGGTTAAAAACATCGTGTACAGTACTTCGTGTTGTAAAGCCTGGCCAATTGGTACCAGCTACCAGATCTGCCATGTCCATCATAACTGGAATACCTAATCCTCCATTTTTTGGTGGTAGAGCCATTATGTTCCTTAGTTTGTAGTTCATCAGTGCAGCTAAACAGTCTGTTGATGATAGCTGGGATAAATTCATCACGTGTAACTTGTTCCAGAGGAGTAAGCCTATCTGCAACTCCTGGGGTAGTTCTGCATACATAAGCCCATACACATATGCACTGTATGCTATTTGAGGTTCTCTTGATGCTATATCACTTAACTGTTTAGATCACGACGCTATTCTTGAAATTTTTACTCGATGAAAGCGGAAAGCCTCTTTTCCTTGATCTGTTCCGATGAAGCTGCCCAGATAAGGGTATAATAAGTCTAGTTCTTATACTAAACGGTCAATGCTCCAGCCATTAGTATATAATATGTACGTGGATTTACCAAGGCCTGCAATAAACGGAGAGTCCCTTTAGGAAGACCAGTGCTTGGCGGCAATTCCCTCTCTGAAATTGGAGAAGGGGTGTAGACGAGTTACGGGGGAATATCTCATTGGTGTCATCAACGGCCCAATAGGAGTGTATCCAGACCGTCATCCCATAGGCGGCTTGTGAGACCTGGCTAGCGGTCTACTTGGGCGTCCGGTCGACGGACTCAGTTGGTTTAGGGTGTGGACCCCCTACCGCCGGAGGTTGATCGCCGATATTTTCCACAAATCACACGCAGCAGACTGAAAACGGAATTGGAAGAAATGTTGACTCTGTCCAGTACAACCAAAGGACCCGTACAGAACGATTGACAGTTGACACTACACGTGCAGTGAACGTGAGAACTGAGACGAGCACAGTCTAAGATCAAGGTCATATGAAAATGATTTGGTTGGGTGTCCAGGACCCTAAGAATCATCAATTTATACTGCGAGACGCGCGGTGATATGCTTTGTAGTGTTTACAATTAACTTTGTGTCAAATCTTGATCTGCAAGGTGTGCAAAGCAGTTTTGGAAGCCTTCTAATCTAAATTCGTTAGGAGCGGTCACGCGCGTGTGAACTCAAACGTTTGCGGGGTAAGATTGCAGATTTCAAACATAATTTGTCCCAATATAATTGCGTGGCTTATAGGTAAAATTAAAAACTAATATTTATATTTGTGCGCGTAGTAAAGCAACAAAATTTATTTTTTTCGAGCATCAGGTAATTATTTCAGGGCGTCCTCCTGCAAGTATCCAGAATTTAAGATAGATGAGGCACATGTTGCAGCATTCCAATCTAGCATGAATTCTGAATCCCTTTGCTGTTTTGGCAAAATTGTAGAAGGTCTTAAGTCCTGAGAGAAAAAGTGGTCACTATATCCTGATATCATCCAGCTAATGAGGGTCATGCTGTTGTTGCCAGCAAGGAGCGTTCCTTTTCACTAATGAAAAGGATTAAAATTTTGCTCATGTCAACCATTTCAGTCAATATCCTATCTATATTGGCTTACCACAATGACATTGTAGATGAAATCAGTTTGGAGGACATCAAAAACGATTACATCAGTCTCTATGTGTCCAGAAAGCTGTACTTTGGAAAATTCTAAATTAATTGTTTGTCATTGTTTACAGTTTTCAAATTTTTTCATCTTGTTTTCTTTCATTAAAAATTAACAAAATTACACTAAAAACCATACAAATTTTCTGGGGCTTTGCCCTAGACTCCCATTGGTGCTGCGCAACCGGAACCGGCTTGGGGGCTCCTAAGTTAATATTTACTGACCTTTGAAACGTTCTTGATTGGAAATCAAGTGACTGATCAACTAAACTGCCTTATATTGTATTATTTGATTGTCCTGGGGCTAAATGATGGTTACCTTTCATGTCATTTTAGATATTAATTTTAATTATGGACCAAGGTTTGGTCATCTGTTAGTAATTTTTCTTATCCCATCAACATTCAACACAACATTTCTGCAGAAAGCTATGGACGAATTGGCAACCAATTTTGGAGGTTTTGATGAAGATTCCTTGTTTATATCGCAAGCAAAAGCAGCATTGGAGGATGGGCAGATTGATGCTGCTTGTAGTTACTTTGTTAAGGTTGTCAGAGAGAGTGAAAACGATGCCAATGTTGATTACTGTCACTCCAAAATTGCTGAGTGTCACTATAGAAGAGATCGTTGGAGAGATTGTATGGAAAGTGCCAAAGCATCTTTGGGACTTCCTGACAGTCAAGTTTTATTTGCACTTTCCCTTTTTCATAAAAACGATCCTCACTCGGCGATTGGAATTATAGATGATCTACAGGATCCAGACAGTTTGTGTGACTATGTCAAGCAACAATTGGAACTCTTGCTTCCTGAGATAAAAGAGGATGTTGCAGCAACATCACCTAGAATCCCTATCCAAATTGAGGAAAAAATGAAGGAATTAAAAGTTCAAGGCAACCACAAGTTCAAATCTAAAGACTTCAGTGCAGCAGCAAAGTTTTATAGAAGAGGTATTGAAGTACTGACAGATTGGCATGAAAAGATTAGAGAAAAAGTGATGTACATTTCGAATGAAGAGGTTATGGAGCAGTACTACAAATCGTATGGTGTCCTTCTCAGTAACCTTCTAAACTGTGAGATGAATCAAAACAAGTTAAACACATGTAGAGATTTGTGTAATAAACTTACTGAGGTGCAAAGTAATTGGAAGAAATCATATTATTGGTCTGCTATGTGTCACCTTGCATGTTTCGAGTTTGCAGAGGCTAAACACCACTTCAGCTTGTGTTTGTCCTGCCCTGGATCTGAAAATGACAACATCAGTGAGAAGATTAAATTTGTTAAATTTTCTGAAGATCATCAATCTATATTTAAGACAGTACCAATTGTGCTGTGGCAACAAATTTTTGAGGCACATAGTAAGAACACATGTTGGCTTGCAGGGAACCTCTTTGCAATGTCTATTACTAAAATTTACAACGACAATAGTACTTATTGGCATATGACCACTTCTGCTTTGATTGACAATAATGGACAAATAACTAACTTCATGGCTCCTAAATATGAAGCCAGTGAAAAAGATCGAAACTTGATTAATGAAATGAAAAGAAATGAAAAGAAGAAACTCTATATCCATCTCACACAATTAAAAGCTGATGGATCCCAAGAGATTGGTTTCACTGACACAGAAGATTTGTCCTCAACTGCTAAACTATCCTTGGCTGTTTTAGAGGCAGATATCAACTCTAAAGGATTGTTTAATGCATTTGTTAAAAACTATTTAAAGTGATTTAATTGACATTTATCAGAAGATATGTATGTATTATGTAAGTTCTAATTTTTGAATATAAAATATATAAAAAATATCATCAAAATAAGAACCCTATTTTTGATGAAATTTGTATTTCTTATTTTAGAGTAGTATAGTACTAGAAGTCTTGTAAGTCTTGGACTAGAACCAATAATAAATCTTGAACTTTTTGTGTCAGTTCTAACCGTGTCGTTTTGTTATAAGCTTGGTCTAAAAATGTGGAGGTTTTAACATTATTATATATATGTTTCGTGATCTAGGTATTTATTTTTATATTATATAGATTTATGTAAAGTTTTGCTAAGTTCTGTTTGCATATCTGGAGTTCTATGTGTCACTATTATTGGTTCCTTTGATTTCATGCTATTTATTTGAATATTATTTGATTTCCTGAGTTTTATTTTTGAAATTATAAGTTGACAAAAAGTATCGCATAAATGCTTTATTGACTCAATAGTCCAAACCTGACAACCTTAAACATCTTATTAACTGCATTAATGCAAGCAAAACTGCCTATCTGGGCAGTTTAAACAGGTTCAGTCGATGGCTTTTCAGTTGTTGGAGCACGTATTTCACATAAAGTGACAAGTTTCATGACAGTAGAAAAGCTGGATAGTCCAAATTGCACTACTGTTCGAATGTAAAGCTCTATTCGAGATAATCTTATGTAGTATAATGCACACAGCTGTCAGCTGCTGTTTTTAATTTCATTATTAAATCTTAAAAGTGTTATATCAACTGTCTAACAAAATGTTATTTCAACAAACTGCTAGAATTGTAATTGCTATTATGTCAAATCTAACAACCAGTTATGTGGTTTAGCTTCGTGTTCGAGCATGAATGACTTTTTCCTGGGCCCGAAGCGTATCTGAGTTACAGAACATATGTCGAAATGGAACCAGAGTAAGTTAATTAACTATTTATTAAATCATAACTAATGACATAGTTTCCTATTGTCCGTCACAGTTCCATATCTTCAAGCTCATACCAGCACCACATTCAATCGTGTGTACTGTGTACGCCACATGTAATAACTGTTATTAATTTCAGGATGAAGCTCTTCACATACTACTGAATAAACCGGATTCATTTCAACAGTCATTCAAGGGTGAGTTGTCAGTTGTCATGTACCAGGTGTGCAGTGTTTATCATTATATTGTGTGAGAAACATTTTTCATGTTCTCCTTAGCTGTAGTCTTTTTCCAAGTGCGACTGTTTTTAATATCAAGCATTGCGAATACATTGCGCTAAACTGGTTTTAATGAAAGACTTTGGGATACTCTGATTTATGAAAAAAATTTGTTTTCAGGGCATCAGTTAATTCATGAAGCTGCAGAGTACAACAATGTCGAGGTTTGTATTCCTTTATCGTTCAGTATCATTTGAGCATGGAGTTAAAGCAGTTATAAACACCTCCGGGTTAGAATAATCAGCCGGGCGGGCGTGTTGCGGGAAAAATTGAAATATAATCCCTGCGCATGCCGAAGTTATGTGTGTTATATCATCTTGTTTGTTTGTTTATAGAACCCGTCCCCAATCTAGTATCGAAAATTATCTAACTCAATTCTGAGAGTAAATACGGGTGGTACCTGCAAAGTGCAATGGTATTTATTAAGCAATTAGAAGTTCTGTAAAGCTGCAGTTACAATTGTGCTAGAATATTTGGTAATTTTGATCGATATCAAAATAGTGGTAATTGTACTCAAATTTTACGGAAACACTGGGCATGACAACCCTTCATTCAATTGCGGCGGGAATCGTGTGACAAACGTCTGCCCAGAAGTTTTATAGTGTTTTTTTCACTCTTATAATATCTAATAATTTAATTATCGGATATTTATAATTCAATATGTATTGATTCTTCTGTGGAAAATAAAAATTGTATTTTACTTAAAAATTGTATTTTACTTAATATCAAACCATGCGTGTCCTACATATTATGTACTTTCAAATTTTAAATTTATCACAAAACTTTGCACAATGTACTGGAATGTTAAAACTGAGTGATATATATTCTGTACATCCTAATAGTATAAAATGAACGATGTAATCATGCGAAATTTGAATTTATTCCCTGGTTGCTTTAGTCAGTTATTAAATGAAAAATATGTGACGTCTATTCCAAACCATTTATTGAGCGATGGTAGCCTCATAGTCGATTCCTGGGTTGCAGTATGTCTTCCTAATTTTCCAAAGCTTAGAATCTATTTTTTTTGTTTAGTTCTGTCCATTTTTCATCAAGTTAATATATGTTCATTAGTTAGTGAAGTAGGTGGTCTTCATGATACATGACGATAAATTAAAACCCCAGAAGTTTCGAGTATCGTTTTGAATCGGTAAACTTACTGAGCTTGGTGTCACTTGGCTACGAGGAAAGCTGGGATTGGCCGTAAAATTTGATAGAATTAAATGTCCTTGGACCTTGGTAACATTCATTCCTCAAAATTCAAGTCCGACAAAGGAGTAATTTATGAATCAGTATGAAACGTGGTGTGAAGATAAAGTTTTACTCTGCGTAGAAAGATGCAAGTGAGGAAGTTTAAACAAGCGGAAAATATAGCCGTACACCTCACGTTCTTTCACTGGGTGTACGGCTTTATTTTCCGCTTCCTAGCTCCCACTTTTGTGCACTGAGTTTACACTTTGTGTTTTTTTCTGCCCCATGAGTTTGTAACTTTACTATGGATTTTCAGATTAATTAACCGTATGTTTACTAATATGACATATTCTTCTGATATATCAGTTTATTAAATTTTTGACTTCTGCTAGGTGACACTCCTGTGGATGGCCCTCAAAGGCCGAAACTAGTTGAGTCTTCAGCAGATCACCCTGGAATACGTCGTATCATTTGTTTGATGACACTTAACTATCTTGTGATCCTTTACTGCTTTATTCCGGGGCGATTGTGGCTACAAAACTCGATATTGGCTTGTTTTTTCCACCTCAACGTCAGCGAAAGCTCTAACAGTTTAAACATGAAGTGTTCTATGAACTGTTTAACGACTGGATAAATATATTGGAACATTTATCTAAATGGATGTTCTTTCACCCGACAAAGTCGAACTTTAGGGTGTGTCTAAGGAGCTAAGGGAATACATCTTAAACTTGCTATTGAACCACAGATCTGAACATATTTTACCCATAGTATAGCTATTGTGTAGCAATTACACAAGCGTAACCTTTGTAAACCCCTCCCCCTAGGCTCCTAGGCTGTCTTACATAATATCTTGTGAATTATCTTTCACTGGAGTATCCCAGATCAGATCTCCTGTCTTACGACAGTAATACCCCGATTTACTGCGGTGTTTGGGTGAGAGGAAAAAGCCGCAGAAAATCGGGGGTTGCAGTAAATCGGGGTTTTGATTGTTTACATTATGTATATTAATTAAGCCCTATTTGAGCGTTCGATTGCTCAATAATCTAAAAATTGGATGCAAGTATAAGTAAATCGTAAACATTCAAATGAATTCCTCTTGATATTAGTCAGATGCCAACCGTTCTAAAAGGTCATCTCGTTAGCTTTTCGTGTTAAAAGTGATTTCTCGATGGTTATCACCTCTCTAGATGATGCTTAAAACATTTGGCCACTATTGCATTTTTGTAATAAATGCAATAGGGGCGTTTTTGGCCACACTCTTTTTTGTCGCGGTCACTCGAATTTTTGTATTTAAGCCCAGGAACGTCGTTGGGGGGGGGGGGGGGGGGGGGGGGGCAACAATGGCATAAAATGGCATAAATGGAGAATTACTCAAGGGTTTTTCCATTTTCTCCATAATAGAAAAAGTCATTTTATGCCATATAAAAACTTAAAAATGAAAAAAACCCAATTTGTTACCAAATTCTGACCTTCAAGGAAGAAATATTTTCAATACAATATTTATCTAGAATCTAAATATCATTTCGAACACCAAAAATTTTTGCCGTTTTATCGTATTTCGACCTTCAACAATTTTCCAGCTCGAACACAAGGTATAAATTTTGTTAAAATTGTAAAATAATTTGTTTTTCAAATATCATAATTTTGGTACTAAACGTTTTGCCTTTCCAAGCTAAAATCAATCCTGTAAAAATATTTCCGAGATTTAAAAGTTTTCATGTTTTCTATCCGGAACTACCCTTCGATATACGATTTTGGACTCGAGGGTTCCCTCTTGTAATATGATCCCGGAAGGCAGGCCTCCCCTTTGCAGTGCGAGCTCGGAAGCGGGAGCTCTGCCTTCAGAGGTTTTCTAAGTAAAAAATTTTCCTGGAAACCACTTTTCTCCAGTGTTCATAATTATTATGAGCCGAAAATATTTTTCGGGACCTAGCCCTCGAGAATTTTTTCCTGAAAATTAATGAAATTCCTGACTAACATCCGGCCAAGCACCTACTTAACTACTTACTATAACCGGATCCGATCGATTTTTAAATTGTATCACTATCAGAGTGAAATTGAGTGGAATTTGAATTGCAAAATAGTCGAATTGATCCTTGGCCTCTATTAGCCTGGTATTAGTCTCATGTAGCCTGGTATGAGCTCTAGTACTCTAGTAGCTTGGTATGAGCTTTGAGTAGCCTGGTATGCGAAAATAAACATGTTAGAGTGTCCAAGTAAGCTGCCACATACGTAATTCAATGATCAAAATTCATGGCATAAAATGGCATAAATGGAGAGGTTTTTCCATTTTCTCCATAGAAAAAGTCTCCATTTTATTTAACATTCAATTTTGCTAAAAACAGTCGAAATTAGTCTATAGAGAAGGTCAGATCGATTACTGGGTTGGTTTAGTTAACTACAGCTACAGGTCACTAAAATTGCCAAGATGCAGGATGATGTTAAAAATCCCAAAAAATGCAATTAAAACATACAATTTGCACAAGGTTAAAATCACATTGAATCCATTTCTTTTGTGCCAATTGTTAGTTTATAACTAGATAATCTAACTACAGGTGTAAATTTTGTTGACTGAGTTACTGTTTTGCTGTAAGTTCTGGGTATTCAAAAAAAGTCCCCAAAATGTCACAAAAAGTAAATTGACTAAATTCCACCATTTTTTTCAACAGAGAGAGAAATTCTGGTCGACACCTCTCAGAAATAGGTTATATTAGTCCCAGAAGTGGTTAAAATTAATAATTGAGCAACATTCTGAGTGCTACACAACCTGTTTTAGCTGACGTTTTAGGGGTGGTGCACGTGACATTTTAGGGGGTGATTACGGTTTTGAGGTATTTCCTTTAGTGAGTGAATGTTTTCAAGTAGCTTAATGTTTTAATAAGACAAAACAAATAGTACTAGTGACAAAAGATAAATCAGGCCTCCTGTACATTTTGTAATTATCACACATATAGAAATGACATTTTAGGGGTGGTGTTTTAAAACGAACTCCATTTCAACGTCAAAAAAATTGTACCTGATTTTATTTTCAAATTTCCAAATCTTCCTGGCAGGCTAGAAAAAGGTTTAAATATTATTCCTAGACACTTCAGAACCCTGTAAATTTAGCCCTAACTCGGCAATCTGGGCCCAAAAAACATGTGACGTTTTAGGGAGGGGGGGGTTTACCCGTATAATATGGATAATATGCTTTCCGTAATGAGAGGTTAATCACGTTATTCCACTTCAGTCCTGGTTTAGTCCTTATACCACATGGTGATTGAGCACTAGTAAATCTGATTATTATGAGCCGAAAATATTTTTCGGGACCTAGCCCTCGAGAATTTGTCCTGAAAATTAATGAAATTTCTGACTTTAGTCAGAAATTTCATTAATTTTCAGGACATTAATTTTCAGAACATTCGGCCAAGCACCTACTTAACTACTTACTATAACCGGATCCGATCGATTTTTAAATTGTATCACTATCAGAGTGAAATTGAGTGGAATTTGAATTGCAAAATAGTCGAATTGATCTTGGCCTCTATTAGCCTGGTATGAGTCTCATGTAGCCTGGTATGAGCTCTAGTACTCTAGTAGCTTGGTATGAGCTTTGAGTAGCCTGGTATGCAAAAATAAACATGTTAGAGTGTCCAAGTAAGCTGCCACATACGTAATTCAATGATCAAAATTCATGGCATAAAATGGCATAAATGGAGAGGTTTTTCCATTTTCTCCATAGAAAAAGTCTCCATTTTATTTAACATTCAATTTTGCTAAAAACAGTCGAAATTAGTCTATAGAGAAGGTCAGATCGATTACTGGGTTGGTTTAGTTAACTACAGCTACAGGTCACTAAAATTGCCAAGATGCAGGATGATGTTAAAAATCCCAAAAAATGCAATTAAAACATACAATTTGCACAAGGTTAAAATCACATTGAATCCATTTCTTTTGTGCCAATTGTTAGTTTATAACTAGATAATCTAACTACAGGTGTAAATTTTGTTGACTGAGTTACTGTTTTGCTGTAAGTTCTGGGTATTCAAAAAAAGTCCCCAAAATGTCACAAAAAGTAAATTGACTAAATTCCACCATTTTTTTTCAACAGAGAGAGAAATTCTGGTCGACACCTCTCAGAAATAGGTTACATTAGTCCCAGAAGTGGTTAAAATTAATAATTGAGCAACATTCTGAGTGCTACACAACCTGTTTTAGCTGACGTTTTAGGGGTGGTGCACGTGACATTTTAGGGGGTGATTACGGTTTTGAGGTATTTCCTTTAGTGAGTGTATGTTTTCAAGTAGCTTAATGTTTTAATAAGACAAAACAAATAGTACTAGTGACAAAAGATAAATCAGGCCTCCTGTACATTTTGTAATTATCACACATATAAAAATGACATTTTAGGGGTGGTGTTTTAAAACGAACTCCATTTCAACGTCAAAAAAATTGTACCTGATTTTATTTTCAAATTTCCAAATCTTCCTGGCAGGCTAGAAAAAGGTTTAAATATTATTCCTAGACACTTCAGAACCCTGTAAATTTAGCCCTAACTCGGCAATCTGGGCCCAAAAAACATGTGACGTTTAAGGGGGGGTTTACCCGTATAATATGGATAATATGCTTTCCGTAATGAGAGGTTAATCACGTTATTCCACTTCAGTCCTGGTTTAGTCCTTACTAGCAGGAACCCGTCTAACCCTAAAGTGGTGTCAAGACTCGAGAGACTAAAATAATTATTACCTATTTAATTCGCGTTTTTGACACCACTTGAGAGTCCAAATTTTGGGCACTAAAATTATTATTCCTTGGCCAATTTTTTATTTTTTCATGCTGATTTGAAGGCCATTAAAGCATTTGACCCAGTCAAAAAAGTTTCAGTTGTATATGTTTTACGGTTTTTGCGGAAAGTCGCGTTAAAGTTGATGCCGTGGTGTCAGTAAAATGGCACGGATATATACACATATATATATCGTCTCGCTTTATCTATAGTAAGATACCACATGGTGATTTAGCACTAGTAAATTATGGGGAAAATACCGTATAATATGGATGATATGCTTTCCGTAATGAGAGATTAATCACGTTATTCCACTTTAGTCCTGGTTTACTCCTCATACCTCATGGTGATTCAGCACTAGTAAATTATGGGGAAAATACCGGTTAAGCAGTGCTTAACCGGTATTCTCTCTTGATAAGCAGGTAAGATTCCGGGAAAATTCTATTCTGAGTTCGATTATTGTGAAACCCTCTCATCATCCGATAATCTGCGTTCACGTCATTTTAGACTACAAGTTCTTCTTCCTGTGTTTTTATCGACCTTTTGTTCTTAACCTCATTACACATGGTTAGCAAGCTGTTTCCACCTCACTTTCTTCCTTTATTAGGCTTAATACCTCTTTTGTTTACTCTACAGATTGAGAGATTAATCACGTTATTCCACTTCAGTCCTGGTTTACTCCTCATACCACATGGTGATTCAGCACTAGTAAATTATGGGGAAAATACCGGTTAAGCAGTGCTTAACCGGTATTCTCTCTTGATAAGCAGGTAAGATTCCGGGAAAATTCTATTCTGAGTTCGATTATTGTGAAACCCTCTCATCATCCGATAATCTGCGTTCACGTCATTTTAGACTACAAGTTCTTCTTCCTGTGTTTTTATCGACCTTTTGTTCTTAACCTCATTACACATGGTTAGCAAGCTGTTTCCACCTCACTTTCTTCCTTTATTAGGCTTAATACCTCTTTTGTTTACTCTACAGATTGACATGTTTAGTTGTACCCTATTCAACTATTTGGATGATATTAGTTTAAGATCTTATCGCGTGACCGGCATATGTGTCACGTGAATAATATTATTTAGACGCAGAGAGACTGTCGGGGACTCTTTTCTTTGCAGCATTATGTAGTGTAAGGGTTTATATTGTAGATAATACGTATATTTTTGGTGACATATGTTGGAATGTTGAGCCAATGAGAGTTCAGCTATCCCTCTTATAGAGCCGCTTCAGATTGCTAACATTCACTGAAGCTGTAAAATGCGCCTCGTGAAATAACTGCACAAGGCACTGCTAGCACAGTACAGAACCGATAGGTCACTCTATAATGTTTATAATGTTTTTTTAGTACCATAATTCCAGTTTTCTGGTGTATGCTTCTGACCTTTTCGTATATATAATGACCATAGGATTTTTCTCCTTAGCCCTTGAACTTTGGCTATTAAGGAAGTAAACCTCGGCAAGGAAAGTAAATTAAGGAAAGTTTTTTAGGTCATTTTATTCGAATTCTAAAACCTCTTTTCATAGCTATCAATGAAGTATCTGGTAACCTGCCATTCTTATGTCTCAGTACGTCGGAGTATTCCGCCCTCTTGGAACGCTGAGTACTTACACACGGGTTCGGTTATTGGACCGCTAGATACAGGAACAAACCAATATTTCGCTGCTTGTGACACTTCATACACAATGTTGGGCGAACTCATAAACAAGGAAGATGTCAGTTTCTCCCCGGAACTCGACCAGTTTGTCACCAACAAATACAAAGCACGGTCATCCCTCAAGTCCACGCAAGGGGTCCCCTTCACAATCTGCGCCAACAATCGTGTTGACTGGCCTTTTGATCAGAATGAAAAGTTAATTGCA